GAACCAGGGGAATAAGGACATGTATTTATTAATTCTTTTCACATTCACAAAGTTAAAGTAGCAGAAGGAGGCAATAGTCTCTGTAGTTTAAGCCAAAATTACATTACCAGACCTACAAATTACTCAATGCACCACGTTTTGTAAGTAAGGAATTATTAATGGATATAATTCTGTATACCAAATTGTTTATTCAGTAGGTAAACCACCTTCTATTTTTAATGTATCATATTATGTCTGTTTTGTTCTTAAGGTTCATTTTCTGAAAGTTCTTTTTAAAAATGTTTCTGTAGATTTTTGGTTATTTGTATATTGTAATACTCTGAATACATAAAAAATGAAAGAGGGATTTAACTAAACATTTAAGTAAGCTAGGATTCTGATTTAACCTACCCAAAAATGCATTCTCATTTACTTAAATGTACATTTATTGATACTCCTCAAAAAGTCTAAACATTGAAGAAATCATAACTTTGGAAGTACAAAATCATTGGCAGAGGCAGGACCACAAGTCATGAGCTTTTGTCTGAATGCCAGTATCCTTTTAAGTCCAGTGTAGACATTCATTGTCTGATTGACTTATTTATTTTTGATGGCATAAGAAACTTATAGATGAGTTATGAAATATATTTCTGTAATTTCCCCCAAGTACTAATAATTCAATGGGAAATAAAAATACACCTGAGTGCAAATAAGACCAAGCAAAGCTATGGTAACTGACTTGTAGATTATGACATGTAAAATTTTAATTTTTCTTGAAGACTCTTCAGTTGACTTCTGAAGCTAATCTGGATTATAAATGAGGTGGGCTAAAGAAAACAGAACCACATTAATCTTTTATTCTTTTAGCTCTTACTGGCTTTTTTAACCATCGATTGTTACTTTCCTTTTGATCTTTCACCCTTTAAAAATACACATAATATTGTATGCTTTATAAAATAATGCTAAATATTTGTTACTTTTATATCAAGGTGTCGAATAAAATTTTTAGTACTATACATTTTTGCCCTGTGTTGAGTCATCATATTTGGTTTCCAATAAATAAGGAGATATGGTCAGTCACAATGTACAGAATGAATTCTGTTACATTCACAATCAATTCTGTGACACAATTGATTCATGCATATATGGCAGCAACAATGACAGCAAAATTTTGGTCGATAGTAAAGGATACCTCATTTCTCTTGTTTTTGTAGAAGCTGTTCAAACTGGGAGGAATTGAAAAAAAAATAAAAACTACTGGTCATTATAATTTCAAAGAAAAGTGAACAATAATGATGCATGGATATGCAGTTTTAGGAAAGAAATGTTGAAATCATTCCAGAATTATTTTTCTGCTCCTAGACTATATATATGCATGTCTTGGTTGTCTTCCTTTATACCTGCAGCTGTAAACTTTCATTGCTTTTGGAACCTCCTTTGATGTACTAGCTGAAGTTAAAAGTTAAAAGAAGTTAAAAGAAGAGGTAAAAACCTAGGTGACTCTGTTCCTTTTTAGCAGTTCTTAAAAGTTTAGTATTGAAAGAAGACCCTAGCAATTGTCTGTGGATTCTAACTGTAGCCCCAGGTGGAATCTTATGGTCAGACATGTTTGTGAAATAATATATTATCTGCTTTACCCAACAAACTTATTCTCTTGTTGTACACTTATTTTCATGTTGCTAATATATTTGGGGGGGGCATAATCTCCCTGGAATTATGAGAGTATGTCAATATTTGCACTCTTGGAAGAGGAGTCATAGCTTCACCTCATACTTCATGTTAATAATCTTTTTAATAAAGACCTTAGTTACCAGGTTAAGCAACCAAATATCAAGACCTGTATTTCTTACTGATATGTATTTTCCTTCATATTTGGTAATCTTGCCTTCCATAAATACAGCTGCAGGGTCCTTGGTCTCAGGGCCCTACAGTAGTTAGGATGTCAGTTTCCACATTTACCTCCTTCAGCCAAAAGAAGAATGTGAAATAAGTCATTTACTTAACTAAATTTAGCCCCCCTCCTCATTCAAATTTTTATCAACTCTAAAGAAAGTAGAAAGTAATTGATGGATTAAAGTTATCTTCAAAAGGAGTGAAATTCGTCCTCCAGGTTATGAGCAAGAAAATTTCAGATACCTGATGAAGCTAAATTATCCACTGTTTAACTTTTTCACATAGACCTATGCAGGTGGTGATTTCCATGTTTAAAATACATGCCAAGTCTTTGTGACAAAGATGTGATTCTTGCCCATAAAAAGTAATTTTAAATGAGAAAAAAATGCATGTAAAATATTAAGCAAATAACATTTTCTTGGTTAGAAAAGAAAAACTGCTGTGGTAATATTCCTATATTCTTTGACTTCCCCAAGAATCAGGACCTGACATAAATAGGAACAGAGTGGAGATAAGTTATATAAAGGTACTTTCAAAATGTATCCCACTAAACACTAGTCACTTATGTAGTGTTTTAAAAATTCACTTAGCAATATTAGTGATTAGCAATGATTATCTAAGTATGATTATAATGTTACCAATTTCTTTTCAAGACATATGAAAGATTTAATTTATAACTAGTGTCTCCTATGTATGGGTCAGTTATATTTAAATAGATTGTAGTGGCACAGGGAAAAGGTCTGTTTAAACTGAGATTTCGTATGTCCTTGTCATTAGTTGAAATTCCACCAGTAATTAATCAGATAGTAACTATAAACAAAATAAATCAAGAGGATTTTTTTTTTTTGCTGTGGAAATATAAACACAAAGTAACTACCTTAAAACTTTTGCATTTATCTATTTCAGCAATGTTGCTTTTTTTTTTTAAGGCTGTATTAATCACTACAGAACTAATGTTCATTACTAGGGGTTCAGGACCAGGTCTCAGAACCAAGGTCAAGTTGTAAGAGGCAGCAACACTGTTGGCATGAATGCATCATCCCCTCTCCCTGACTCATTGGAGGCTACTGTTTTCTTAGACCATTTTAACGCACCCTAAAATTCTTGTATGGTTTCTGAAATTTCTTGAGGCTTCAGAAAGATTCGAATTATGGTTCTCAATTCTTACTGGGCTTCAGAATATCCCCAAGAGCTTTAAAATCTATAGATACTTGGGTACTGCCTCCAGATTTCTGATTCACTGGGTCTGTTGTGGGGACAGATTAAGTGGCTTTTGAAAGATGCTCAGGTAGTTCTGATGTGCATAACACTTCTCTTTGTGATCACTTGTTTAAGACACTTTAGGCATTTTTCCAGCCTAATTTCAGAAAGTCCAAAATGTAAGAATTAGGGGATATTTTCAAGGGTTCTATGTAATAATACCATACTTTAAAACATAAAATGTTATGTTATAAAGTAGTTTGTAAGAGTTTACCCTTTTGCACAATGGATTTCTAAATCAGCAGGTGCATAGTATTTTTTTCTAATACAATATCATTAAGAATTTGATTATCCAGACCTCCCACAGGAAATGCTTGATGACATACAAATTGTCACAAGATCTAATCCCAACTTATGTCCTTTTTAAACACCTGTCTGAGTGAACTCTGCCACTGACCCTTTAAATGCATGGCTTTTTAATTTTCCAAAAGTAGTAAGCCAGTTGGAATGCTAGAAATGCACATTTGCTGTTTATGTTCCATTCCAGTAAATCATCTTCTGAATTACTATGTTGATCTCTTGATTGCATAGTTAATAAGAGAAGTCTAAAAATGCCATTAGGATTGGCTGGTAGCCTTATTTACAGAGGTTTATCAGATGGAGTTGATTCTACATAATTAGCCAATAATGAAAGCCAATTGTTACTTTTACTGTCTCATGAGTCGGCCTCAAGAATTGACTTTTTAAAAGTTAGAAACGTGGTTATAAATTGGGGAATGTTGAAGGCTTACCTAGTAAACTGTTTAACATTTTCCCCAAGTGTGGACTCTAAATTTGTATTGATTACAATGGAATAGCTAAAATATTATATAGCTTAATGCCAAACATGCCTAAGGATCAGTCTTGACATAGACAAACTATATTAATATCATTAACTCAAGTGTGTTCATCATGTCTATCTATAGTGTAATACTGAACCAAGTACTGCCTAGCTGAAGGTCACGGGTTACATACAGCTATTCAAATACTTTATTTTGGTGACAGCTGAATTACTCCCTGACCTGACTTTACTGAGTGGAAGGATCATCTTCATCCTTATGCCTTCCTGCCCTTTCTAAAAATAGTAGGGCCCTTAACAAGGAGATATTTTAAGCAGCTCATATTCACTTGTCTCATCAGGAGCAGCTTATTTCAGCCACTTGCATGTGTCAGATTTACATGTGTGCTGCATAGTTCATGCCTCTGCACTCCACTCCTATAAGAAACCTGCAAATGTAAAGACACTGGGATTACTAGCTAAGAGTCAGTGGGTAAACACATGGAAGGAGGAAGATACTTTTTAGGAATGTGAATATGCTTGGAAATCATCCATTTCAGACATTTGCACATCAGTCCTCAGCTTTTCGGATCTGTTTTCATAAGACCTGGCTGTGATTTCACTCCAGAGACCTCAATGATCTTGCCACTTTTTAACAATATTCATAGGAGCCACTGCCAGCCTGTGGATAAGGGAAACTAATGAGAAACTGCCACCTGCAATCTGAACAGCAAAAACAAAACCAAGCAAAACAAAAGAATCCAAAACAAAACCAAAAAAGAACAGCTCAAACAATTCGGGCTCACAAGAAGACGCGTAGAAAAACACTGAGATGTAACTTTGATTTGATATCTGGATTTCTAAGTCACAGGACTGGCATGCAGTGGGTACTTTGTATTTTTCCACTTTGAAAAACAAGTACAAATCTATGTTATTCTGCACAACTGGGACCAAAAAAATTATGCATGTGAGAAAACACAGACTCTAAAAGCAAGATGGAATGTAAGCAGGTAAACCCTGTTCCACAGTCATGTCATTCCGGTACGGTTGTACGTGGTACTCGTGTTTGCACCTCTAAGAAATTTCCATTTTTTCGCATCAAAAAATCCAGATATGAAGCTGAAGCTGCATTCTTTGCCAACCTGAAGCTGTCTGATTTCAACATCATTGACACCCTTGGAGTTGGAGGTTTCGGACGAGTAGAACTGGTAGGTAATTGTTCTTTAAATGCTTTTGAAAGCCTCTGCCTTCACTTTTAATTTTTCCTTCCTAGATTATCTTTTTGCTCCTTAATTACTTTAAAATTAATAACTTTTCCTTAAATATATTCATAGCAGTGTGTGAGAATTGGCAAGAGTTAAAATGGACTATTTTATGTAGTCAATAAATTGAACTTTTATAAATGAAAGGTAACGTATTACTTAATAAGGAGTCATAAAACACTATAATCTGTTTTGCTTCCTTAATTCTGATCAGTGCTCAGTAACTTAGTTGTATACCTTTTCTAAAATTATAGTAATTTAAATGTCAATTTACATATAAATGGAAGTCATAAAATATCCATGTATATGCATATAGTTGTGTATATATAATAATTATATATTATGAGCAATATAAGATACCAGTGCTTTAAAAAAAATCCAGTAAATGGTGTCAGGGAAATTCTGTGACTCTATAGTTGCAATCACCTATGTAGATTATAGCGCTAATGGTTTTTGAATATTTTATATAATTTATTTCACACATACTTTATACACATACACACAGCTAATTGTTGGTGAAAATCAAGAGATTTTGGTACAGATTTATAAAATGAAAGCATAACCTATAAATCTAAAAACTGACATTGCAACAAAAATTAGGTGGAAAAATGTATTCTGGCAACTGAGTTGCTGCATTTGAAGACTCTGTAGCTAGAAACTCTCTTTGATAATGCAGATAAATTTTCATATTTCTGCTGAATATCGAGGCATCCCTGATATGGGACACCAGTACAGTATGTTAGGAACTCCCTGAGACTGTCCACAGTGCAGTAAACAGTTACTGTTGCCATCAGGAGATAGGAGAAACCCCCTTCCAGAAAAGTAGATTGACCCAGAGCTATTTTTGAAATGTGTCTATTTGTGCTGCAGATGGGATTTCTGACCTTGACAAACAGAAAGATGCTATTTGCTTAAATATTTGTCAAGAAGGTTTTAGACCCATAATGTGTTTCACTGAATTTGTATTTATACCTTCCTTAACATTGACTATGGAGATGCTAAGAATTACTATTTCTGACTTAATAGTCACAGTGTACTCTGAGGAGATAAGTACTTTCAGTTACAGGAGTAAAAATCAAATATTTGCTTTTCTGTTTGCTGAATCCTGTCAATTAAAAGCAATGCCAGATTTACTTTTCAGTTACTTTTTGTTATAAAATATAACTGCTTCTGTAGCTAATGAAGATTGATTAACAGCATTGCACTGGGTGTGTTGACATATAAACAGGGCAGGGGTATATACATAGCTCCTCACCATGAGGATTTATTTTTGGAGTGTTTATTTACATAGTCATATGTGTCTAAATCCCTTTCTGAATGAAAGGACAGAATAAAGGACAGATCAAGGACAGAATTCCCTAGAGACTACTTTTTTGGCTATTTGTTATGATTTCTTAGATACTATTTTTAAAGACTATACCAACAAAAAATGCTGTTTTATTTTGACCAAAAAATAAACATTACAACTATGTGAATTCCTAGAGGTCTAAGAAATGAAGTCGGGAGCCTTAAAATTATCAGTGAGATAGTTTATGAAACATAGTAATGGACTTAGAATTTTTGAAATATTCAAAATCATTTGTAGATACTGAAATCACTTCATGTTGAACAGTTAAATGCCACATTAATGATGGAAAACTGCTAGGAGGTACAACCAACCACAAAGTGAAGGGAGGGGCAGTATGGGCATAGAAAAAGTAATACAGTGTAAGAAAACAAAATAGGCATGTGTGTGTTTGCATATTTGCATATTTATAAATAAGCTCCCTTCCAGTAGAGATTGTCAAAGGTAGTTCAACCTAATTTTCCTTTTGTGGCTATTTTTACTCCTTTACACCAGGTATTTGTAGGCTAATAAAAACCATAACCCCAAGAATTAATTTAAATTGGTACTATAGCTCAAAAACTTTAGATACATAACCAGTACATGTCTTAACCACTGAAGTTAGTCATTACATGACTTACACTTCCCCAAAAAACAACACTGGGATAATCAGATTTTCCAAATTCTGTTCTTTATCCAATTTGGATTAATCATATAAGTGATTGGTAATACCACGAAGTTGATTCTTCCCAGTTCTTACTACTTACTGCCTCATAATAATAGCTATTGGGTATGAAAAATAGTTTTCCCTGTGATTATTTTTTACAAGCACTTATTGAACTCAGTGGCGCCAGAATTGGGAGTTTGTTCTCAACACGTTGGTTGATTGTATGTTGAATTGCCATGAAGACAGTGGTGACTACACAGCAGCAGGCGGTCGTGTGCCTTTGGAACAGTAGTCTGACTGTTAGGAGGCGATCTAGGCAGAGCCCAGTTCAGTTTGATTACAGAAGTTTTTTCTTCACTCTCCTCTGAGAATGTTGTATGCAAGGTAATTGTATCACTGTTCTTTTTAAGCAATGCAGTCTTGATACAGGCTTTTCACATGTGTATGCACAGTACTAAGCACGCTGATACTAAGATGCAATACTGATTCCTTGAAGCTATCAACTCTTAGTTTAGCAGTGTTAACCAGATAAATGATATTATGAAAACATACTATAGTTATATTTTAATTTTATAATAGTATTTTAAAAAATACCCCAGGTATAAGATTATAAAATCATAAATTCTTGAGAGGGGTATAAAGTATTAAAACAAAATTGAATTCTTTGAAGTTAGAGTGGTAGTTTTCTCATCATTTGACATAGATTGTTTTCATGTACTCTTGTATAATTATTTGCCCTTTAAAGACTACTTAACATTTGTTAATTTTTATCACTTATGTTAATTTTGATGAATTTAGATGCAGAAATATTTTTCAGGAAGGAAAATTTTTAAAAAGTTTATGGCCGACTTTTGGAGGTGAGGACATAAACAGTTATTCGATGGTAAACATAATAGCTTCAAATAAAGGCCTTATATGAGTGGAACTTCAGCTATTCAAGTCAATTTCATAATTGCTTTAAGCATAGTTGATATAGCATAACTGATTTTAACTTTCATAATAGTAGGCATGTCTTTTTCACAATCATTACTTTCATGAAATTTTCATCTGGTACATACTGTATTTTCTAACCATGTTCTTTGCTTCTAAGAATGGACTTTCTAATTTATTCAATGCTACCTTTTTATAGTTTGTCTTCCCAAAGACCTTATTACGTTCATAATGATCACTTTTAGCAACAGAACTCAGCTGTTTTTATATATGATTTACTCATTAAAGCTATAAGCACCACAGTAAGAGATCCAGGTAGTCCTCTTAATTTACAAGCTATGGCTGTAAAATTAGGAGATTTTTTTTCAAATCACAAGTAAACATTAGATCCATGGCTTTGTAGTCACATTCCATACTTTACTTTTGCTCTTGCCAGAGAGATGCTTGCTTTCAGAATAGGTTAGCTGAAATAAACAAATTTCTTTTAAATCTGGCAATGCATGTGATGGTTGCTTTGGATATTAGATATATAATTTATTCAACGATCCAAATCCTCGTCTACCATACTTGGATAAAATACAAGAACACAGATATGGAAGGTATAATTTTGTCCTTGTGGATTGTATACTTTCTACATCATTTATTTATTTATGTGGTAAGCCCAAAGTTGGGACACACAAAGTTTAATATAAAATATCCACTCGAGGGCCTCCCTGGTGGCGCAGTGGGTTGAGCGCCATGCTGAGAAGCTGTCTGCAGTGTGGGTTCGATTCCCAGCTGGCCAGCGAGAAACCCACATGGTGCGGCAGACCTCTCCTGTCTTGCCCACTGCTCCCTTCAGCAGTGTCTTTGGTCTGTCTGCCTGTTCTGTTCCCTACTCTGTTTCTGGTGAATTCTCTCACCCTCCCACACCTCTGACCTGTATCCCAGTTCTTGAATAAATTAATCTTTAAAAAAATAAAAAATAAAATATCCAGTCGAAAGGACAATAATGTAAAACTTAAGAATTTAATTCATAATCATAGTATGAGCAGCATGCACTTAGTGCATGGAAGAGCAGCACTGCTGGGAGGTGGCAGCATTTCTAAGGCAGAGGGAGAGTTTAGGTATTTACATAATAAACTGATATTACCCCTTACTAATCAAGCCTTTCATATGAACATTGCTTTTATAATCTGGAAATTGCTTTCACATACAATTTTGCCTTTATAGCAATGTTGGGAGAAGAACATAAAGCATGATATCCATTTTTTTTTTTTAATTTTTTGCATAGAAGACCTGGGGAAGGAAGTGCAGCTGGTGAGAGGATTCACCAGAGACAGAATAGGGAGAAGAACAGGCAGATTTACTGAAATATCCTGCTGAGGGGAAACAGTGGGCAAGACAGGAAAGGTCTGCTGTGCCATGTAGGTAGCTCCCTGGCCAAGAATTGAACTCAGGCCGTTGTGGTGATTGCACTGAGACTTAAACCCTACATCACCAGGGAGGCCCCGAGGCATAATATACATTTTATACAAGTCAAAAATGGTTCCTATAGGGCCTCCTGGTAGTGCAGGCAGTTGAGCGCAGCACTGTGAAGCTGTTGCAGTCTCTGCAGTGTGGTTTCAATCCTTGCCCGCCAGGGAGATACCCACATGGTGGTGCAGACCTCTCCTGACTAGCCCCCTGCTCCCTTCAGCAGTGTATTTCAGTCAGTCTGCCTGTTCTGTTTCCTGTTCTGTCTCTGGTGAATCCTCTCACCCTCCCACACATCTGGCCTGTACCCCAGTTCTTGTATGCAGGAATAAATTTAAAAAAAAAAACTTTTTTAAAAAATGGTGCATGGAAGTGGCCTAAGATTATGTAGTTATCAAAGAGCTGTTGTTATTGTTTGGAACTACTAATATTTAATCATAAGCTTTCTATTACTCTGACTCTAAAAAATACTAAGATTCTTAATGCCATTGTCACATATACACCTTTCTTTAAAAAATTCCAGAATATAGGAATCTGTATTAGTTGTTACAATTATCTGCTATTAGCTTT